CAGTCAGCCAGGCTTCCTATGGTTCTGGATGAAGTCCGTATTGTTTCTCTGAGGTATTAATCAATTGTTGTGAGCGGCATTAATTTCCTGGTGTTTATCTCTGCCGCCATCTTAGTTTCTCCTCCCATTCTTTTCTGTATAAGTACTTCTTGAGGCAGCATAGCCTGTGGTCAGGAGCTTAAACTTTGAATTCTGATGACCCTGGGTTGAAATTCCAGTTCTGTCACTTACACAACTCTGCATGTTTTAAGTTTTAATGTCTATGTCTCTACTTATAAAATGGGAATGATAGTACTGCTTACTTCAAAGTCTTCTTGTGAGAATTAAATGGGGTAGCTCATGTTAAGGGCATTAGGCTGGTGCCCACTCATCCTTTAATGACTATTATTACCTTTATCTTAAGACTCCCCCAATATTTAAGGATCAGATGTCACATACCATTGAAAATTCACTCTCTGTGCACTAACCAACACTGTTACATGGCAGAGGCAACTGGCATATGGCACCGTCATATCAACAATGAGGCTTTGGGCTAGTGACTACGTTCCCCAAGGCTCAGAAGAAGATAATGACTGATTGGGCACACCAACTAGTCCAAGATTCCAGTTTTTTGAAAGAAAAATTCCTTTACCACCTGTCCTTTGTTTTTAATCTCATGAATAGGTTTTAAGGTTGTAACTCTTAATGTTGACTTTTTTCTTTGACACCGAATTCCCCCCATCCTGCTTCCTCTGATATTATGATTCCCTCGAGTTCTATTATTGGAAGTGTTTTCAGTTTGGTAAAGAATTCAGAGTGCCAGGGGAATGTCCTCTTCTCAGGCAATTGAATCTAGTATAACAGTGTCATGTACTTCCCTGGTTAGTGCTTTATAAGCAACACATCTTGAAAGCATCACTTACTGTATGATTCCCACGTAGTTTTCAATCTCTGTTAACTGAGCTTTCCTCCAGTTTCTTTTATATCCAATCACCAGAGTGTTTGGTTTCATTCTTCCTAAGCCCGAGGCCTAAACAGAGGAGATAAACACATGGGCAATCCTTACTGTACCAGGAAACCACCACTGCAAATGAAAAATAAGGTCGGAAAGAGCACTGAAGTAATGTTCTGATGATTCGGAAGATTAGATTACATTTCAGTGCATGTCCTTCATGCCCATACCCAAGCATAAAATAGAAAGATTAGTTCTAAATCATCTCAGCCATAAATGGATTTTAGATGACAGAAATGTAGCTTTTCTAAATTAGCAGTCATTTGCATTTCTTCTGACACACTCATTAAAATGGTTCAATAATTTAAAATCAAGTAAGGGTTGGCTTAACTGTTGGCATGCATGCTGTAACTTAGTGGTTCAAAGCTAATTTCCACCTGTTATATCCATAATGTCATTAGCAATAAAATCCATGTTTGGAAAATTCTTATATACAAAATCACTGAAACTTCTACCTACATTATTTATTGAAGAGTAAATGAGCTGTGTTTCCAGAACCCAATTCTTTTATATGACAGTATCATTAATAGCCAACTTCCATATCAGAAGTTTCATTCCCCCCATTAGATGACAGGATATGACTTTCAGTTAATTAAATTTAATCCAGCAGTATTATTGAGCACCTATTAATCGCAAAATACTATGTTAGGTTCTGTGGCATGGTAGTGAAACATATTCTTTGACCTTAAGGAGCTTAGAATAAAGTGGAAGATACAAGATATTCACAAATAATTTTAGTTCAAGTGCAAATGCACTAGGAACTCATATGGAAACATAAAGAAAGAAACCCTGAATTCCAGTTGAGGATTCATGGGTGGCTTCATGGAAGAGTTGGTATTTGTCCTAGATCTTGCAAGTTGGTGAGATGCTGACAAGTAAGAGTGAAAGAAGGGCATTCTGAATCATGAAAATAGTGAAACAAATGGTCAGAACAGGAAGTTTTAGAGAGGACAGTAGCAAGTAGAAGATGATAAGCATTGATGGAGGGTTCCTAAAATAAGCTTTGCTTCCACCACATTTGTATATTCTTCTTAGAAATGTACAGGTAACAGAATAGCTCATTTGGCCCAGGGCAGATACATGGCAGTATGGGTATAGTCTTTCCCATGACTACATTTTGGGGATGTGGTCATTCATACCATAATTTCTTAGATGCATAGAAGGCTTTATCTAACATGGTATCATTGTCAGTGCCTCCCTTTGTTACCATGTTGTCCTGCCCTTTGTCATGACCTCTCTGGACTCCACTTTTCATTGAAGAAACTCATGAGAACAAGCTTTATGCACTGCCTTTTTTCCTTCTGGATTCATATATGAGTTGTTTTTCATGCCTATGTCTTTCCTCTCCCTGTTCTTACTATATTTGTCTTATTTCCAGTGAAAATTTTTATTACTTCTCCAATTTTTATGATAATTTTACATTAAATGCGTAACCTTCCCAACATATTTAATCAAAGAGCTACTGAAAAGTAGCTTGAGGCTGAAGGAAAAATCAGCATCTTGCAATGACCTCTATTTCCATGGGTTAGCAGATGAAAAGAGGCTCATTGGGGTAATAGGTCTTTCAGAAATGGGCTCTCTGTCTGTGCAGCCACTGCACAAGTGCTCGTCAAGGATGTTAGAGACAAGAATGCATCGAAGACTCTTAATCTCCAAATATTACAACGTGAGCCATATTTTTTTCTTTTCTGCCTGCACCAGCATCAGAGTTATCTGGATGCTGTTTGGACTGTTGACCCTCCTGTGTGTGGCCACTCTGAAAGCTAAATGATTCATTCGGTAAATGTAGAATCGGGGCTATTCAACTGTTAATGCCAGAATGATTAAAAAGCCAAAGTCTCTTGGATTATTTTAAGGAAACTGGCACTCCTAATTATGAAGTTCAGAACAAGGGGAAGAATTTTTGTACTTATTATTGAAGGGGAGGAAAAACGATATAATGAGTGAGAAAAGATGGGAGACCTGTAGGCTTTAGTGTTGAACCACAGAAATTACTATATTTTAGTCAACATTCTGGAAATAATTTAAAAGGATAGAGAGATTTTACATCCTGACACCAGGCATTTATTTAGCCTAGCAGCTGCCCTCATACCATTTGCAAAAGAAAAAAGGAAAAGAATGTTTCACTTGAGCATTGCTAGATGCAAAAATAGTTTGAAGTTTTAATAGGATCCTGAGTGTCGTCAACCATCAGAACAAATTTGCATTTCAATAAATATGGGGACAGAATGTATGCTGTTGGCCAAAGGCAACCTCATTTCCCATTTCCAGTGCATGAGTCATAGTTGATTGTAATAGAACCTCTCCACTTTTGTTTTTGCTTTTCCTATCTCCAGGAATTCAAAACGTAATCCTCATCCATCTGCATTGATCTCTGACGTTACACTGCCCACGCCATTTGCTCTGGGAGCTTCATCAGCGTGGAGTGCTAATTTTCCTTTGCCTCTGTACTCACTCCTTCAATGCTAGCCTTACCTGAAGGAGACTTCGGACACCATCCCTGAAACAATCTGCAGCCACGGCAGCATAAAACGCCTTGATTTTGTTCTTTATCAGCCAGGCCTGCTTTTTCGCCATGCCACTGTTCATCTCTTTAACGCACAGCTTGCGCGGTCCCTGTATGACACAATGAAATGTTGGTTAGAAGCCTGGCTATTACACACCGCACTGCTGTTGTTTTCTGAAAGGCAAACATAGCCGGCCATGCCCCATTGAGTTAAGAAATGGGAAAGAGGGAAAACACCTCAGTACAGGAGGTTCACGCGGATTCAGCCTTTTGGAGAGGAACTGTGCTGCTCCCATTCTGCACTTTCTACCCAGAACGTCAGATGTGTCACTACCTGCTTAGTTAACTGCCTCCTTCTGAATGACAGAAACAGCTCAGGGCATCATGGCACATGAGGAAAATACGAAAAATGTGATGGCAGAAGTTCAGAATAAATACACAATCTACCTTTGACTCAATAGCGAGAGCCTCTTTTAAGAACACCAATCAGAGCCGGAGCCCAGTGGCAAGAAATGAATGGCGCTCTTGGGAACCAGAGCATGATGATTTGCAAATCCTGCCGTAGACTACCACGACTTGACAATTCTTCTAAGCCCATCGGTTGCTTTTTGTGATAAGGATACTGTTGCACATTTCTCCTTGTAATGTTAACATACTCCCACTCAGTTAATCAGTATTTCCCACTCCCTCAAGGAATCTGGTGGAAACAAAAGCTCACATACCTACGGCCTAGGAAGAATACAAGAGATTAAGTGAGAAGGGGGCAGGTGTTGTCATGGTAGATGAAGTATTTTGTAATTTCCAGATTTGAGTTCCAGAAATTCATTTTTAACTAAAAATTTTATTCTTGTTCCTCCTACCTTAAAGGTCCAACCTAGCTTTTCCCTGCATTATTTCAAACCAATCCAAAAGGTTATTTCTGAGTATCTGCCATGTGCTGACAGGGCACAAATCTATTATTTTCTTGGGAAACTATTTCAATTCACGGAAAGATTTGGATTTTGTTGACTTGTCTTAGATTTCTTACAATACACCTGGAATCTTGATAAAATGCAGTGTATCGGTCTGGAATAGGACTCGGAATTCTACATTTCTAAAAACTCCCGGGGACATGAATGCTGCTGGTCCTCAGACCACACTTGGAATCGCATCTTTGAGGGTCTCAGGTTGGAGAGAAAGGGCTTCAATGCATTGAAAAGACATCAGGCTTTTCGGCCAGACCGAATGGTGTTCAAATCTAAGTGTGGCCACTTTGAAGGTAATTGATCATCTCTGAGCTTTTAGATAGTATTCTGAAAACAGGAATAACAATCTCTGTCCTTTTGCAAGATTGTTCTAAGTAGTCATGATAAAGTCCCTATTATAATGTCTGGTGTATAGTAGGTGCCTGTCCAAAGTTGATTTTCATTATCTTAACTGAGTACTCACAATCTCACTGAAGGTCCCAACCTAATTCTACAACAGAGATGGGAGAGGGCTGAACTGGGAACCAGTGTTGGGTTTAGGTCTGGCCCAGGCACTGACCAGCTGATACCGTGGGTAAGCCTTTTGTCCTCTTTTGATGTGGGTTATACATTTCAGAGAATAAGGGAATTGTCTAGCTGATCACTGCCACTGTGATAGCTCTTATCATATGTGACTATTGAGCATTTGAAATGTGGCTGGTCAACATGGAGTTGTGCTAGAAATGTAAAATACATACTGAATTTGGAAGCCTTAGTATGAAAAATAAAGCACAATATCTCATTTATAATTTTATATCGATGGCATTTAATATTCTGAATACATTACATTAAGTAAAATATTATTAACACCTGTTTTTTTGACTTTTTTAATTGGCTACTAAAATTTTTAAATTACATTTGTGGCCTGTATTAACTTTGTCTTACACAACACTAGATGACCTCTGGGGTCCCTTCCACTTCAAGGTTCTGTTTACATTGGATCAGATTCTTCAGGTACTTATTTCATTCAGAATA